CAATTATCCAGTAATACGGTTAAAAATGGTGCTAATTTCACTACATACACTAAGATATTATTCGATTAATAGTATTCTATTTTTTTAACGTCGGACCTTTAATTTGGCATTTAAATAACCTACTAATTAATGTTAAACATGTAAAACTTTTATACAAAATAAAGAATAAATTGTTTGAACAGGGATGAGGATATTCATTTTCCAAGTCATCCCTGCGTTTTACGGGAATAAGTCTATCCTTCAGTTTTGATGGATAGGGTATCTGTGTAGAATCGAGGCTGTCAATTTAAAAACAGTAATTCCATGGGGTTACCCCTGACTACCGATGCTTTTGTCAGATTCCCAAACTAACATGACGCAGCGACTGTTTGCATGTTCTGAAATGCTATGAAGTAATCCTAGTATAAAACAGATACATGTGGATGAGCGAATTAAAAAAAAATCTCGGTCTTCTGTACGTTTTGTTAATGAAATACACAGTTATATGAATATACGTGTAAACATTAAAGAATAAGTACTTTTGCTAAACTTATTTACCTAGACTTACAATGTAAGTACCCAGAAGCTAGTCGCAAACGCCGAATATTTTGATAAAAACAAGAAAAGATATGATCATATTAGACATTTATTCTAGAGTTGGTTTCATGAACATTATACATTTATTTTTCACTCCAATATACGAACCATAATGTAAAATGTTTGCGTTTTTTTTAAAATAAATCTCTTCAAATTTGGTTGACATTTTAAGTTTAATTTGTTTGAACATGAAAATAGAATTAAGTGAAAGAGACTTTGACATTTTTTCGCAGTTGTTGAATATTGAGCATAAGGTAACTTATTGTAACTTTTTGTATTTTTATATATTATCTCTTAATTCAACCATATTCTGTGTTTTTTTTCTTCTATTGACATTCAATTATCACAGTATCATTTTTCATTTTTTTTCATTTATGAATTTGAAACGTTAGATTTCTGTCAATTGACATGTCGTTTTCTAAATTCAGTTAGTATATGTACTCTACTCTCCTGTAATATTATAGACTGCCTATATGTATTTTGTACTACCTAATCATTAACAAATGTTCAGGACACGGATTAATATATAAGTTTATAAACTTGTTTCCGAATGTTCTTTGATTTTTCTTAAACTGGGTGCTATTAATTTTCAATAAAATATGCTTTAAACTAAACATTTGCTCCAAACAGCGCGTATTAATTTTACAATGGTTTTAAACCTGCATGTACAATGTATTTTTTGTCCCTTTGTGTTTCCTACCTTAAATTTACTCCCTCTAGAGAGGAGAAACAAATTGCTTGTGAAGAATATAATTGTTGAGTGTATATTATTTCAAACTATTGAAAAAAGAAATCATTCCAGAAATTTTAAACTCCTTGAATTTCAAGGTGATTATTGCATTGCACTATGAAACAAATTATACATTTCGTTTCTTTGTTAATTCAATAATCATCAAAGTTCTGAACAACACCTTCTGTTATGGATCAAAATATCTAAAAAGACAAGTAAAAAATCTTTTTTATGTCTCGAGAGCTTTTCAGAATTGAATTATCTCCGATCTTAAACGTTTTGGTCACACTTTTCGTTCAACTGCTATTTAACACGTCAGAATTTTCAGCCCACAAGGGAGACAACCTCGTACAGAGAAACAGAATTTCAGGCATGTTCTGTCAAAGCTGCTTAGCATACTCATACATTCAGGTTTCTGCAAACTTTTCATCAAATTGGTTAAAATATATGATCTGAGCAAACTTTTATTTTGTATCATTTTGATTTTGTAGTTTGAAATCCCAGAATGGTTTTATATCAATGAAGAAAGTCTAATTTTAACCAAAATTACACAAAATATTGAAGCCAGATATATTTTCTTTCCGTTTGTATAAAAAAGCTAACCAGCTTTCAGCGAAGGTATAGATTTTTTTTAGGTTCGGAATCGTGATTCAGTATCTAGCACGTAAGGCGGTTGGGTTCGAGTTAATTTTCACACCGAAATTAAACTTAATGTGATTATTTCACTGTCAGATGATGATGAATGGACTCTACAAAGGTTGATCGTGAAAACATGCGCCCTGTTCTCCCGGCAAAAGCTTTAATCAAGGGACCAGACAATGAACCGAAGAGGACATTTCACGAACTATCAAAAGAAAATAACACTTTCAGCTTCGATGCATATAATTTTTCTTTCAATGCAAATTATTTTCCATTTTCCCTTTCTCTTCCTTGTGCAAAACAAAAGAAGGAATAAACCAATGCACATCTGAAAAATAATATAAAATTATAATAGTGAACCAAGATATCAACCTCAGTAAGGTAGACAGCAAATCCATGGTCAATATCAATGACAGTTTTTTTTTAAAATTTTCTTTACGTTATGATGATTATAGAAAAACTGATAATACAAGAGAAAAATTTCCTCTCTGTTTTATTCAGTTGTCCATCAACACTTTGTAAAATCATTAGCATTACCCGGAATCGAACACATATACATCTCTTGACATATTCTTTATATAGAATATGCATGTACATATTACAGGTATATAGTAACAAGACATAAATCACAGTTTTACAACCCGTTTTGTAACTTATACCCGTTCTTCATTATCCATTTTTTTCCAGTGGGTTTTTAACATTTTTTAGTTTCTTCTTTAGCTTTTTTTTGTTGCCTGTCTCCTCAGGACCATAATGGCCCTGGCTCGTTAATCACTCGGTGACACATTCTAATAATCTGACGATAATTCTACACACACTGCCTCATCAAGGCCATAATTAACCCATCCTCCATTTCATACACTCAAGCTGAGAAGGATACTCTTTTTCTAAAAAATAATTTTGATCACAAAGATTGTTTTTTCATAAATGAAAGAACCATTTTTTTTTTGCCCCGATTCAACAAAATAGGGGTTGATTCATCGTCTCACCCTGGCTGTCCTCGTGCCTGGGGTCAACTTCATATTTTAAGAAGGAAAAAGAATCAGTTTAATTTGCGAATAAAGGCTTTTAAAAAATGTCATTCAACAGAATGTTATACAATAAAAGTGACAATAGAAAATAAAAATCATTATCATTTCAGAATTTTTTTTTCACACAATTGACATTGATTATTTCATGAAAAGAAATTAAGTTTTAAAAAATATACATGTTTCTCATTTGTGAAAATTCAAAGAGTTTTCGAATATGTATTGTATTAATCGTTGTTGAATTTTGTCGTCGATTTTATATAATAATATAAAGATTTAAAAAATTTAGATATTTTTAACGACATACTGACTTTTCGATAAATGCCAAGTCCAAAGAGTTTATTTTATTTACAAAAAGGTCCTCAAACATAGAAAATAATATTTTAAAAAAGTAGACAAAACACTCGTTTCTTTGCCAGAGAACAAAAATCATGATTATGCAGATTTTTGGAGAATATTTTCATGCATGTAGGAGTTAATTAGTTCTGCTCTCAAGTCATAAGATTCGGTTTTCATTGCTAACAAGACGATTTTGACACTGTCTTGTCATAAAATATTCTTTATGACATCGAAATTCCTTTGATATCTTTAAGGGCGAGATAATCTGCATACGATATAAATATTTAAGCATCCAGGAATTGTTTATTACGTTGGATTATAATAGCTGACAGTCTTGGGTTCCTTGTCATTGGCATATGTAGATGTGCATCGATGTCTCGACCTGAATAATAATTCAATTATTACGAGACAAAAATTCAGGGACTCTTGTAGGTTATTTATGAGCCTAGTTTTCTTACGACTAGAGAATTTCTGTTGTAACACCGTGTTCGGGCTTAGTTTTGTGGGGGTAATATATGGTTGTCGCTCGGTACAATATGGCGGTTATATTTGATTTTATAATATCCCTCGGATGTGTTGACGGAGCAAAGCATAACAACGTTATCTGCCGAGGGGCAAAGTGTAGTTACAGTCATGTACAAATTGTTTATCATCTCAGTTCAATACATCCACAATGCACAATTGATCTGTGTGGGTTTTATATAAAGATGTTCACTATCTGAACAGATTTAAGGATTGTTATAAATATAGATCAAAAAGATCAAGCTGGATCGAATAAAAATGGAATATATTATGCTTAAAATAATAGTGTAAAGGCTTGTCTTTGTACTTGACTTGATTTGAATAATTTACACACAAAAAAGGGTGGAGGGAAAATTGATTTAATCGAAACATTGAATAGGTGTTAGTTTACTCCAAAAGTTATGCATACATTAATAAACCTGTGATTGTTCCTAACCAGGAAATCAAAGGGTGTTTTTAATTACATTTTCACAATTAAACCTCTTTCATATTTGTTTTGTTTTTTTTATTAACATTTATAACAACTCTTAATCTTTAGGGAAAAAATGACTAACACAACGTCTATCTATGTATATTTCACTGGTAGGAAATTAAGGATATCCTAAACGTTCTTAAATTCCCCGTTTTTCTCCAATATTGTTGTGTAAACAAATAATTTATTGATAGAGGCTAGAGTTGTAGAAGTGTAATGGCCGTTTGGTCGGACACTCTTCCTGTCCAGTACAAAGTATTGAAGGTCGTCTGTGGAAGTCGTCCTCCTGTCTCTGTTGTTTTCATTAATCATTCTGTCTGACAAGAAAACTGTACGTTGCGGTTGATGGTGATTATAGTCGGTAGTGAGCGGTTGTTGGTGATTATGGTTGAAAGTAAGGCGTCAGACCCCCGTTACAAATTAGGAGCACCAAGACCGATTACTCCATGTTTCAAAAGTCTCTCGTCTTTTCAGTTGGGAAGATAATAAAATAAACCCAAAAAACACAATATAAATAAATATATATAATATCACAAGCAAGAAAAGGAATTATCTTAGAATATTATACATAATAGAAAGGTTTACCAAAATGTTTTGTGATATATGACAATAATACTTCATATTTTCCACTTTACTAGAATAAATATTTTCTTTTTGCATTTGATGCATAAACTTTTCTTTCTTTTTTTTTTAGTTGCAAAACCAACCAATGATTATGGTTATCCTCCTAATCCAGGGACCCCTCAACCAAACATGGGGCGGACAAACTTCACCAACAAACAACTGACTGAACTCGAAAAAGAGTTCCACTTTAATAAGTACCTGACACGTGCACGACGAATCGAGATTGCTGCGGCGCTTGGACTGAACGAAACTCAAGTGAAAATCTGGTTTCAAAATAGGCGTATGAAGCAGAAAAAGCGCCTCCGTGAAGCCCAATTTGATCAGAACAGGGGCGATAACTGTTCACTAAGTGGACTTGATGGACTCACAATGACAGCTATGACACTATGTCAAGAGGGGAGATAATCGATTTTAAATACGTAGAACTCCTACAAATTGGTATCATTTAATCTATGGAATGGATTTATGAGTGCTATATATTTAACATTGGTGCAATATGTACGTGATGTTCGTTGCTGTTGTACGAAATGACAAGTGGAGCATGCCATGATATTTCTAAAATGTCTCACACCTTTGCTCCTGTTTCGGGAGTTACTGATAAGACTAGAGTCCCTTATATGGTCCCTTTATGTGAAAAAATACTTGTTTTATTCTTAGATATCTTTGTCGAAAGCAATCATTGTATTAATGTCCACCATTGCTCAAACCATATATAAAGAATTACAGGGTTTTCATTTCAATGCACTTCATGAACGTGCGATATTTTTTGTACCTCGCTATTTTTTCTTTTCTTTCTTTCTTTCTTTTTTTTTGCTTATTGAAAATTCAATCCAGAATAGAAAGCTGGACAGTTTAAGGTCTAAGAGATAAAACGTATCTGTGAATTAACCCATAGATTTTATATTACTTTATTATTTGTATCTATTTTAGATATCCTTATTTGATTTCCTTGTGTTGTCCAGTAATAATTTCCATTTTCAGTTGTACAATGTACTAGTCATGTTTATAAAGGAGGAACTACTGTGACATTTTTACTGTGTTTCCTACAAATATATTTATCTGGGTATTAGATATCCCGACTGGTAATTAGTTTACTCACGAATAAAGCATAATGTAATGTATGTTATTTACAGAGCAGTTAGTCGATACTAATTCCATGTGATGCTCTTTCATTCAGTTATTTTATATCCATATGTGTTCAGTGAATGTGTGGTAACATTCCGGAATCGTTGTCTCTGAGCAATTATTTTCCTTATATTCTCCAAGATCACAATAATTCAAACAAATTTTTTTGAAGTCCCTTGTCAAGAAAAGAATATAAAGCACATGAATTAAGTGCAGATAATTAGGCAATTAATGGAAGACAAATGAAATTAGAAAAAAAGTATGGACGATTTTATTAAATTGATATTTATTTTTTTTTTTTATTCTGTAACTATTTTTTTTCGTTCAAATTTAAATCAATCGAATGATTTTGATTAAAATGAGATAAATTGATTAAGGAAAGTGTGTTATTATTTAATTTGTTATATTTAGCTATATTTCTAACTTTATATTTGATTAAAATACTAAGTAGTTCTAGATGAAACGATAAAAAAAGAGTCAATGGTATCAATAATATAAACTTACACATTCTTTTTATTTTATTTCAAATACTAGTAGTACATTAATGTTATTCCATGAATGTAAGCGTGCTATGAGTGCACCAAAATTATAATATATTACAAAGAATGTTTTCCTTGTTATTTCTATTTTTAAGTGTGTGGAGATTGTCAACTTTTTGTGAAAATGACGCTCAAGGAAAATATTTTTATTGAATTTTATGAAGAAAACACGACTATTTATATAAGTTTTTGTTTTTCTATGTTGACGAGCGAGTAATAAAATGACTTTGGTGCAATATTCCTGTGTGATGTCTCGGTTTTTGGCGGGCAAATAGTGGTGTTGACTTTTACATTAACTTCGCCCAAAAGGTCATCCGTTCAGAAGAAAAGGTCAACGATCTCTGAAATAATGCCATGAGAATATTTACATGGACTATGCCATGGGATTTGTATTTCTTCGAAAAAACGAATAAAAAGGAAAACATTTAATATATGTGCAATTTCATAAATTTTAATTATTTTATTTAAAATAAAATTGTTATAAACAAGACCTATTTATACATATTTGGCATTATTTATTTAATTTATTTAGAAAATCTGGGGAAAAGATTTTATATCGAAAATAATCACATTGCTCTAGATATGTTTAGAAATAAAGTTCGAGTTTTCGCGGATGTTACAGGATAACCTCCGAGGTCAAGAAAATTAATGTTGTTTTGAAAGATAAAAGCCGAGGTGTTAGCCGAGTATTTGAGGTTATCCTGCATCATCCAGGATAACAGGAACTTTATTTCTATTCAATTATAACAGCTCTAAAATACGACTGATCGTTTCTTTTATAGAGAAACGAATGATGTCATCATGACGCCATTAGGCTGTTCCATTTACATGTAACACAAGAAGATAAACTTGATTGTTTACTTGTATATCGATTGCAATGGAATGCAGAGGATTTGAGCTTTCGTTGGATTAAAAATATCCCTTATAAATTTAAAAATTTGTTTCTAACATATATTGATTGATTTTTACGATTATTAAATAGCAAAATTAGTAGTTGATTTTATTTCTTTATCGGTAAAATCACCGAGTGTAAATGTTGTAGGGAGGTCCGTGGAACAGCCCCCTTTAACTATAAAATAGGCATTTGTCAGCTGTTCTACGTTTCCAAAAACTGTTTCCAATACGCAACGTTTCGATTGCAGAAGTCGACACATCGATATGGTTTTAATAAGTATTACATTTTAGAGTTGTATTTTCATTTCACCTGTAGTCTCCCGCGTGGCGTAGTGGTTAGAATGTTTGCTCTAGAGTCGCGGTGTAAGGAGTTGATCCTTACGTCGCGGGTTCGAATCCCACTGCGGGACGTTGAGACCGGTCCTTCGGATGAGACTGTATTAACCGAGGTCCCATGTCGCAGTAGGTGCTAACACGAAAAAGATCGCTCACTGCTCAATGGTCCTGAGTACCGAGTATAGGTCTAAATTTGCAGCTCTCCACCAACAAGTGGTGGCGTCTTCATATGAGTGAAAAAAATTTCGAGAAGGACGTTAAACAACAAACAAATAAACAAACAAAACCTGCGGAAGTTTGATTTGTGTTTCTGATCTTATATTTTTTTGATGACATTCGAGATTTATTTGAGAATGATGTCCACGCCATTTCTTTGATCTCGGCAATATACAATGTATGTGGCAGAATATTGAATTTTATATAAATAAGGATTGGATACAAGTAAAAAAAAAAATTCACCTCAACAGAAAGCGATTTATTTACGTACCTTGTAATGATAACAGATGATTGTCAATGATATTCAGTTAGGTCTGGTAACTTTTTTAAAAAGTTATTTTCTGGGCATTCATATTTCTTTTTTTTTTTTTAAAAAAAAAAAAAAGACAAACAACTTTTAGTTTGACCACATTAACGTTTTGGGGAAGCAGTTACTATTAATAACCTCTCTACGATATCAGGCATATTAACCACCGAATTACATGTAATTAATTTGGTGTATACTATATTCCTATAATGTCTCCAGTTTTAAAGAAAATGATCTCAGTTAGGTCTGTGTGAATAATTGACCATGTTATTCTTTTGATGTAAATTTAAGCTTAACAACATGAGGTAGCATGTTTGCTTTAGAATTAAACTGTTCCCTTACCTCCAAGCAGAGTTTCAGTGTCTAATTACGACAAGGACAAAATCAACTTTACGATGGGTAAATGAGTTGTTTAAAGTAACTATATAACGTTTATTACAGCTCACGCATCGAAGCGAGTTTTGGTAAATTTTGGTTAGGTAATCAGAAAAAACCGTTATCATGAAGTATGGAGTTAACAAACAGTTATCAAGCTCAGAAGTCCATTGAAACCATACAAATCAGGAACAGAGCAAATCCTTTTCGTAAAACAAAGTAAGTCCCTAGAAGCAATATTTAGCAGGTCAGGAAATCAATAGGACGAAGTGTTTAAAAATTAATTATGAAAGTTCTCGATCTTTTTTTAGACCAATGTACAAAAAAATGTTTTGTTCAGAAACATTGCTGCTTGTTTATATGGTGAACGCATATTGCAGATTTACCTTTATGTAAGTTCCCACAGAATAAATTTTATTCAAAACCCTGAATAACATTACAAATTCTCTTGTTGTTGCAGAGTATCAGTGTTTTTTTTTTTGGTTTGTTTTTTCAATTAGGTCACTACAACTATTGTAGTGACTACAATAGTTGTAGTAGTAGTACCAACTACTGTTGGTTCATCGTCAGATTTTTCTGTGTAACGGCAAATGTGACATTAATTTTGATACATGTATATCACATATGAGGCACATTTTGCCGTGTATGCTCAAATTGTTCTTTAAATCTCTTTTATGGCTCAAGGGATGCCAACAAAAGTAGATTTAACTCTAGAAATGCTATTGCAAGCAAAAACTTATGGGCCCTAGCTTTTGTCTACCCGAACTGATCTTCATACAATAAATACCCATAGCAAAAGCAGTGAAAATTTGGATGCTGCATGTAGAACTGCACTTGCTGATTGTTATCAATGAAAAGTTTCGATAACTTTGTCAAAGCCACCTGCAAGAACTAATGTGGACGAAATTGAATTGGGTGGAACAAAATTATTACGTATCCCCTAATACGTTGTGGGTGACATAATAAAAATGTTGTTTATGAAATGTCATAAAATGGATTCCTTTTATGACCATTTGCTGGCTCTATGGGGAAAATGAATACACCTAGACTGAGTACATTGTACATATATCTAAACTTCTGCAGGAAAAATCTTTTACTCAGGATTTAGTATTTTCTGACTATTAACTCTGGACACAACACAAACTGGCAATTTAAAATTTGATGATGTCACCAAAAATTTTGGTAAAGTTAACAGAGAAATCTCGAAAAGGACACAGATTGTATGATACCCTCAAAGGAAGCTGAAGTAAGATTGATTGATTGATTGTATGTTGTTTAACGTCCCATTCGAGAATTTTTCACTCATATAGAGAAGTCACCGTGTGCCGGTGAAGGGCTTCAAATTTAGACCTATACTCGGCACTCAGGGCCATTGAGCAGTAGGGTTCTTTATCGTGCCAACGCCTACCGTGACACGGGACCTACGTTTTTAAGGTCATATCCGAAAGACCCGTGACTTTCACTTCTAATGCCGGGCGCTTGGCGAAGGAACAGTCACTACCTATGTTTACGTCTTAGATTTGACGCGGTGCGGCGAACGAGAATCGAACCCGGGTCTCCCGATCACGAAGCGAACGCCCTACCACTAGGCTACCGTGACCAGTAGCAGAAGTAAGAGAGAGATTGAAGGAATATTTTAACGACGTACTCAACAGACCGGTACAAGATCAATCAGTTAGTCAATTCGAGAACAACTAAGAATAATCGAGAATAACCTGGCCATAGAAACACCAGCTAGAGATGAAATTAGAAATGGCATTAGAAACCAAAAGAAGAGTAAGGCACTTAGCTATAGTTCATATTAAAGCGACAGAACATTCAAAAGCAGGCACACAAACAACATAAAAAAGATAAAGAAGATCCTTAGTAAAGAATGTGCTCCTCAAGACTACAATACCAAACTCTCCAAATTACAAATAAGCAGCCAACTTTCAAGAACAAATTGAAGATGCAATATGTTTTGCTTTTCAGCACGGAAATATTAAAGATGAGCAAAGAAAATGAAATATCACTCGACACCTTCTCCATAAATGACTTACGAAATTCAGTAGAGTATTTTGCCCAGTTGAGATTACTTATAAAAGTCAGAGAAATAGCTAACATTGAAAAAATAGTTACTGTAACATTACAGTTACCGGAAGAGGAACAATGAATACTGTAGATTCCTTATTTTTCGCGAGTACTTATATTCGCGAAATGACTCTTTGACGTCAAATCGCGAGAACAATAATTCGCGAGTGGACGTTTGATGAAGAGATTTTACATTGATTTAATCACCATAAAAATAAAAGCGAGTAATTTTATTTCGCGAGTAGTGCTTCTCGCGTAATTACGCGATAATTAATTCCTCGCGTATTTAGGAATCTACAGTAGATCATGTGCTGCAAACGAGAGCAGAGAGCCATACCAGAAGTTTAACATGAAGACATGATTGACGAAGGAAACCAAAAAGAAAAAAGAAAACATGCATGGAGAAAGAATATAAAAAGGGAAAAGAAAGTTACATTTAGACTGAAGGATGAAGCCGCCGTGAAGGCTAAAGACGTATCAGAATAAAGATGTCTTACTCCATACATGTAGGATTCATAGACCGATTCTCCTCAAATGGAGAAAAATAAATTGAGAATTTTCAGATTGATACAATAAGTTTTGAGAATTTATTTTACATGCACCCGGTCTTTCAGGTGAGCATAATATTTTTTTTTCTACATTTGACAAAAAACAGATAGAGAACTTCTAAATACGTTGTTTTTCCACTATGGAAGAGTTATACTTCTTAGTGCGCTCTTTTGTGAAAAAGTCGGAAAATGTACAAATCTCGCGGGATTACTGGGACAAACATAACATAAACATGTAAACAATATGTTGAATGTCGATGAACAAATCCTAAGAAAATGCAAATGAAATATTTTATTGTTGTGGACTTTATATACATCAAGAGTAGGAATGACAACGATATCAATTTATATCTATTGTTGATCGTATGTATCTATTTATCGTATGGTATATCTAAATACAATACATATGCCTCGGAAATGTCGTACTTTTTATTAATGGATGATAAATTTAGGGTTCTTGCTCTCTTACATATGTCTTTTAGTTCTTCTACTCTTAATTGGAATGACAAATACATTTAACATTTAAAATTGGATTGAGATTGGCATGTTTTGTATTATCCGCAACGCCATGCTGTCCCAGTCAGACGACCAAACGCGCCTCTAATTCTGAAGAGTTCACTAATGGAAATAAAACGTATTGATGCAATTGATTGTGAAAAATTATTTCATCTGCACCCAAATTTCAGG